TGAGTATTTTGCTTTTATTACAGCCAACGTACAAAACTTAGTCATTGGCTATTTGTACTTTTAAATTTTTGGTATGGATTTTATAAATTAGTTAGATTATCCCATCGGTTAGCATTCGACATTTACGGTTAGTATGTATTTGCTGGAACAAGTGCTATGAGTTTAAGATAAGCTGATCTCAAACTATATCTACAGGCTGTAAAAAGAACTCCAGATATTACAGAAATGGTGAATTTATCCCTTCAAGATCCTGCTACAACTGGTGAGAAACTGCCAAATTATATTAAAAAAACAACTCATATCAATTCAGCTAATCAGGACGTGTTTGAGTATCGCAATAGAGGACAGCGCATACACTTGCGAAAATGGCTTAGCTAAATTAGTACTCTTTCAGGGAGAAAAAGAAGGGCGACAGCAAGTGAGACTTGGCAGGGGAGAAACAAACGGAACTAAAAAGTTGAAATATATTCTCGGCATTTTAATATAGGACCCGGCCCTCACTAGGTACTAATACCATGTAAGCAATTTGCTCAACAATATCTCACCAATTTCACATTACTGTTTTGAACAGTTCATGCCACAACGGCTCTGTAGCTTGTTTCTTTGATGTCAGCTGTCTTCAGGGTAAGTAATTACATAAAAAATCTTATTTCCAGGGGGGGAGGGGGTCCTTCTTTGAAGAAAGTGAGCTTTGTAGTCGATATTCAGCTACACAACTGAGGCAGTTTGACCGTAAGATTAATCTAAACGATAATTTGTTTATAACGTTCAGGGAAGTGTAGTTTTGGGGGAAGGATATACGATGAAGGAGATGTGCTACACCTAAAAAAGAGCTGCAAAGATTGGTAAGACTGGATTTCATTTTTATACAACCCTTGCTAACTTACGAGGCATTATTTACTTCGTCATTCACAGATACTTCCGCTCATTTCCGTTTAGGTTGGAGTTCCTTCCTTTTACACGGAAAATGGGAAAAAAAATAGGGGGGAACTATGAACTGCCTTCACTTCAGAAAACTTCAATTATGATTTTCATTGGAATACAACGTTCCTCCCCTTTAATGCCCCTTTCCAAGGGATCCATCGGAGAAATGTCCCAGTCCTTACTCAACAAGCTGATTTAATAAATACACACTCCGTGTTTAATATGGAGGGTTCCGGGGTAACAGACAACAACGTAATGATGAAAATTTGTGCAATGTAACCACGTGTTTTCGAAACCTGATTCCTTGCACGTTTGTCATTTGGAAGTGTGCTCGTGGAATCTTAGTGGAGTGGAACTCGTCAACACAGTCGGTAAGTTTTCTGACTTGTATTTCGGCCTTTTCCTCACGAACTTTTGAACATTGAACTTATTGTAGCATGTATTTTGATTCTAGAAAACCTAACTCGTCGTGCGTAGGATAATCGAACTTAAATTTGGACCTACTTCATCGTGAATTTGTACGTTTGACATGTGTTTGAGCTTGACTTTGTTGACTTAGCCGGCGAAAACATCCGTTTATCCTCGCTCTTCGCCGCTGGGGACGTTTCGCGAGGAGGAGCGTCTGCGACTCATACTGATGACCTAAAATCTGTCCGGAATCCGGTCAGAAGCGCTGATTGGTCCGCGCGAAACGTCCCCAGCGGCGAAGAGCGAGGAGAAACGGACGTTATTGCAGGCTATTGTTGACTCGGCTGTGGATCTATTTGTCTTTTGAAACCTGGAATGTTTATGGAATACGCGAAGTTCGAGTTTTCGACTTTGGACCGCAACAATTTGCAAAAGTTTAGCAGTTTTCAAAGATCAGGTTATGATTTCCCCGTTCGTTGTTAATATATTACCTAAAACCTGAAAGTGTATATTCAAGAGGTTACGAAAAAAGGTCTAAAGCTTTGAAAAGTGAAATAAACTACAGGATCGGTCATTGCCATTAGCCTACTCAGAAGTTCATTGTTTAGGTGTTTCGATACAGTTTTTCAGAGGCCATACCGATATTTTTCAATCGCCTTAAAAGTGTTTTTTTCCTTGTCTGATCGCTATAAAATAAAAAATGTAGTTTTAAGTAAAATCGATATTACGATGACACAGGAGCCAATGACAACAATAAACAAAAAACTTTGAAATTGATAAAAGCCGAATTTTGTGTGATCTAGACCTGCTACTGAAAATCCAACACTAGGAACTTAAAGTTTGGTGTTTAGCAAACAATCTTCGTAAGAAGTAAAAAATAATGTGCGCTATACATACCTCCATGACTAGTACATTTTAGTTTGAATTTATCGCATCTTTTGAATGTAAAACATTGACAATACTCACACTAGTCATGGATATATGTATTGTCCGGAGTAATTTGGAAAAAATTAGCATAAGGTCAAAACAGTGAATGCTGTAGTGCGGATTTTTGACCGCTTCGTAGGATAGGTTTGTCTTGAAATTTCAAGGTGTTGCAGTGAATCAATCTTAATGAAAGTTTCAGACATTATTATACAGATTATGAAGATTATCAATATGTGAAGAGATTGTAAAAAAATTCGTTCTAGTCGTTTCAAAGATGTACAAAAAAACGTTAAAAGTTCAAATTTTGAATGAAGTTGCACCTAGACAGGTGGTGAGAAAACGGGTTAGTTTTTGGGATAAGATCGCAAGAACGAAAATACACCAAAACTTCCTAGCATCGAAATATGATATTAAACAGCATTCTGACCCTAAATAATAATATGAGTCATTTATAACGCTTTTATTAAATTACTAACCAACTAGCCTGCGAAAGCATCCGTTTCTCCTCGCTCTTCGCCGATGGGGACGTTTCGCACGAAGGAACGTCTGCTACTCAGCGACAGAAATTCCATACTGGTGACGTAAAATCTGTCCGGAATCCGGTCAGAAGCGCTTGTCGGTCGACGGAGTAGTTACAGCGGGGAGATTTTTCTCTCTCCCCGCTGTGTGTCGCCTTTTCTCGCGTGGGGTGATTTTCACGCCCGCTCGCGTTTCGCTCGCTCTACTATCCCTGAGGAAAAATGGGGGACTACTCGTAGTCTAATTGTTTACGAATGATAGACAAAAGACAAAAGCTACTAAGGTCAAATGTAAAAGTGAAGAATCTCTAACAAAACAGTCAATATTTGTGGAATATAGTCTTCTCTAGAAGAAGCATTTGAGACAACACAACACTTTACCAAAATCGACCAGAAGACACGTAAAATTGGACAAATTTGTATTTGGAACCCCATGAGTACTAGATTTATTATGTAAATATTGGATTGCCAACCCTAACAGTATGGAATTTCTGCCGCTGAGTCGCAGACGTTCGTCCTCGCGAAACGTCCCATGCGGCGAATAGCGAGGAGAAACGGATGTTTTTGAAGGCTACTAACCAACACCCCGAATAATTTGCTTTTCGCAGTGTTTGTACTTCTGGAAGATGGAATTGCATGGTGTTGATATGCAGCGCGGGTACGTGTCAATAAGCTAGAAAACTATAAGTCAACATGTACAGGCCTTTTTTGACCTTGTGTTGTTTATGCAGGTATTTATGTTACCATCTACCCACTGATTGATTATCTTCTTACATATACAGCAACCCTTTCTTAAACGTTTGTCATATTTGCAGCTAGACTTGTCTTTCCCCATCAGGCTTCTCAGCCAAAGGCTATGCCAAGCTCAGAAGACGAAGCCGCTTAGCCTATTAGAGCATATTAGAGGGTCTCAATGGGGTTTAACCGTCAGCCGTCAAACGGCCGAAAATTTCACCATAAACCGTCAAAAATGCAGATTAATATTAACCGTCAAAGGTTTCAAGGTATTTCAATCTCACTATTTTAGCTGATCTTTACGGACTTCTGGCTCGGCTCATGAAGAATATCTAAAATGAGCGGAAACACGAGTTACTACGTTCTCTAGACATTACAAGACCTTACAACTTGCCTATATCTCAAAATACTTCGAAATTTTATATGCGAAAGGCTACTCCCCCATAAAAGTGATCTTTTAGGGGTTTAAATTTGTGGATTCGTACCGCTTAGGGTGCTAAAACCTAAGGTATCCGCTGCCGGAGATGATACGCTTTATTTGGATAAAGATTTATGACAATACTTTCCACAATTCCTTGAGAAGAAAGGGTTCGAAAGTTATCTTTATTACTATGAAAATTTGCAAGTGCAAGTTATATAGTATTGAATTGGTACCTTTTAGGGGTGGAAATGAATTTGGACATTCCCATTAAACAAGATTCTGGTACCATTTAGGGGTGTTCTCGAAAATTTCCGACGAGCACCCCCGTCACTTTTATAGGGGAGTACCCCCCCCCCCGGGGAGAAAAACTTGAAAACACAACAGTTAATATTAGTATATGCAGAAGTTAAACTTAAAATCCTGGACTTAATTTCCACTAAATAACCGTCAGCCATCAACAGCTCTAATATTTAACCGTCAACCGTCACAATTGGAAAAAAAACCTCTCATTGCCCTATGCATTTTTTTTGCTCGGTGTCATAAATGGTTTAAAACTTAAACTCTTACGAATTTTTATCCCAGGCCGGTTTTTTGTAATTAAAATGTTCAACCTGATGAGTATTTTCATCTCCATTTTTAAATTTTTTTTTACAGTCAAGTCCAAAGCAAACTTGTCAGTATTACACCAGGATATCAGATCTTACCTGACACGTGTAGCCGTCCTCACTCCATTATTATGGATTTGTTCTTTTGGTTGATTTGTAAACCAGTTCTAGTTGTGAATAACTGAATGTTTAAAGTATTGAAAACATTTAACGAGGAGGTGCCACTCAATAGATCTGGATAGCTCCAAATCAGGAACACCGCCTTGGTACCCGGCCTTTCAAGAGGCTGCAGGCATCAACACAACAACCTCATGAAGACAAAGAACTACAAGTGACAAACTACAATGAGACATACTACAGGATATTTTATTTATGTTTTAGTGGATTCGAACTATTTTAATGCATTTTAGTGCACTTATTTCATCACAGCATTCTGTTGGTGTTTGTAACAGGATCTATCTTTTCTCTGTTATTTTTTTTAGAATTCATATTAATTTTTTTTATATATTTTCTTTCAAAAGAAAGATACCGCTTACCGCTGCTTAGACGATAAAGATAGTGTCCATATTTTTAGCTCGGATTCATCAAGACCACAAATTTGCTGATAATTTTCCACCTATAGTTTATCATAAAGACCATAGAATCATTATGACATTAAATGTTAATAAATACATGACGTGGAAAGAGTGTTTCAATCACCTGTTGATGATATACATTGGTTTCCTCCCATTAAATATACATAGACTCTTTTTTACTCCAAAAGCCCAGGATCTTGTTAAACCAAGATGTATGCTAGTAACTCACTTGTGACTTTAAGAAGCCATTGCTATGTCCTAATAACAGAGCGCTGTTTCTAAGTTTACTTCTATTTGTCATAACTTCGTGGGCTTTCACTGAATAAATAAGAACCCTGAGCTGATAACTTTCCTGGTACTTGCAATCTTGAGTACTCCGTTTTTGGTGACTACCTTATAACCAGGAAGATGCCTTAGATTTCACCTCTTTTTTGCCGACTCGCTGTACTGGCCTCGTAACTCTAGAATCACTGTTAACAGGTTTGCATAGTTCCGACCACACTGTTTCTTAATTGCCTCATGGAGTTGTGTCGAGTACCATCTCAAGTACTCTTTCTTGATGTAATAAAGGTCAATCTGTAAAAAAGATAAAGAAAGACAGTCGCGCCAGCGTGCTCAGGTGGCGAGCTTGATTCTTTGTTCTTATTGCATGTTGAATGATTTCTATTCAAAATCAAGTATACTTATTTCAAGAGGGGCCTGTCTTGTATTGCAAATCTCGATTGTATTGAAGTAAGCAAAGTAACATTTCAAAGCAAACAATGAAAAAAAAAAAATTCATGCATTTGATATAACATGCTTTAAATGAATTCCAGACAAGCGTTTATTATACTAAATTACAACGACCTATTTATCGATCATTGAAGGGTTGAATTTCTCTGTTCCTATCGATACCCTTGACACGCTTCTTCCTTCCCTCATATGCTTTTGTTAGTGATAGAGAATCAATCAAAAAGGGATTCAAACGTCATTGGCTATTCCATTTTTTTAAGACATGCTCAATTTTCTTTTAATGAGCCCATAGAATATTTGCTAAGCTAATTCTGTGGGGATGGTGCAGATTATTTGTTTTGCCTCTAATGTAGGGTGGATGCAATTATAAGTTCCTTAATGTAAAATCAAGAAAAATTAAACTGAGGAACGTTATTCGACGTTTCGATGTTTCTAACATCATTATCGGGCGGATGAAAACGTTAAGGGTCAAAGTTGTTGAAAGAGTTCAAGTTTGATTACTGAATAAGATGACATTCGTGCATGCCTGATTATTACGCATATGTCCTAATAGAAAAGCTTCGCGCGAATAGAGTCTGATTGCACGTTTAATGATGGTTTGAGTTCCTGTATAAACAGCAATTCGTAGACAAGGCATTCAAATAGATTTCTATACCTTTTAAGGACCGAAAAAATAAAATTCAACCCTTTTAACAATTTTGAGTCTTAACGGTTTTCATTCTTAATATGATGTATTGGAACAACGTTCCTCAGTTTAATTTTTCTTGTTAAATGCTTTAACAAGCAACTGACTATCCGATTGCTCTGGCTTTTCCTTGTTTATTTGCCAGTATGTGCATATCAGAGCGGTGGATCCAGTTCCACCCCTTACTATGTTACTTACCTCTGATCTGGAAACCAGCAACCTAAGTAGCTGTGTTTCGTTGGCATTTTTTATCTTCTTAGCAAAATACAATGGAGGGTTTTCGATATGCAATACTAAAAGATAAACGAGCAAAAACAAAAGGTTTCATGTTTAGTGGTAAACGAGGTTATTTTTTAGGGCGAAATCTGGAATATAACTAGTAATAACCAAAGGTTACGAAGTGCGCAGGCGACAACGATCGAAGATCAAAACGCTTTTTCTCAAACGCTGTGTTTACTTAAGTTTACGTGATAGATAATCAAAACACGCGCGATTAAATTACAAGTGATAGAAGGTCCAAACGCGCGTGATCACAGATTGTGTTCGATGCATTCCATTCATTCTTAGTGGAAGTCCAAACTGGCTAAATACGTGGGGAGCATGCGTAATAACAACCTGGAGTTTAGGATTGCGGGCTCCTCTTGTCACCCGCAATTATGGCACCTTCCTTGGTCTTCAAAATTCGTTATTGCAAGGTACTAACTGAGCTAAATACCATCATTGTTTTGATATTCATTCAATATATCTCTAAGTTCAAATCATGCCGTGAACCTAGGCCTGTATCGACATTTGCCTGTTCCTCGGCAGTTAATACAGAAGATGAAAGGATGCAAGTTTTATATTCTATCAGATATTCTTCCATGGCAATTTTCAGTCGTTGATTTATATTTTTGTTAGTTTGTCTATTTTTTTTTACTATATTTTTGAAGCAGTACTTCGGCTATTCGTCTTCACATAAACTGTGAAATGTTTAGCCATTTTCACCAGCTCTATTATTCACTGCCAAAAACAGATGGTCCACCGGGTCGCGCGTCCCTTGTAATTTTCTCTCGATATCATTACTATGTCTAGGTATGGTTTCAATTGTATTGATACCAACAAACATCTTCCAAGTTTGGTCAATGCCTACTGGTTATAAAGAATTCGCCAGGCAATTTGAGATAATCCAGAAAGGAGAAATATTTTGAATGAATAATAAATGCAATCATTTCTCCTGGCCGTGGGCAGTTATGAAAAAGCACAACCAAGAGCTGTTTCAAGGAAATTAGGATAGAATATATTCGATTGGAACAAGAATTGACCAATGAAATTCATTCTGGGAATCCTTAGTTTACCAAGTCACTCAGTTCTGACCATTGCAACATCGCATCTTGCTCTACGCGCCAAATGATATTTACTTGGATTTAGCGTTTCAGCGGGAAAGTGTTTTTATTAATACTTGGAGTATCTTTACGTTGTTAATCCTACGCACCCTAAAACGGAAAAAGGAACAAATACAATTCAGCATACAGTATGCGGTTATCTCAACTTACCACAATCTTTCAAGATGCTTTGCGCACGTTGTGATAGCGTGCGATAATTGTCTTCGATAAATTGGTCCAAGCTGACTCGGTAGAGTTCTTGAAATGCATCTAAGGTTTCTCTCAACTGATTTCTTGAAAGAGGTTCGCATAGAAGAGAAAGGAGATCATGGTCTTTATGAAGCTGTGTTGCTCTTTCCTTTGCAGCCATTTTGTCCGCTCTTTTGTTGATGAATGGTCGATCGGTGTTCAGTAAGGAACCTAGAATGTCCTGGACGTCTTTATTAGGCATCTTAAGCAGTTCATCCTGTACCTTTTTATTGTACGCTGAAAATTTCAATAGAATAACTCTCAAAAAACTGAAGTGTTTCGAAAATTTACAGTAATCGGCTGCAGGCAGGAGTGCACCCTTTTCATTGGCCCTGCAGGCCTCTTACCTGTTAAATACTCTTCCTCAATATCCACTAAGATTTCACTTCTACTTGATAGCATTATGGTCTCAACGGTGTCGTAATCTTGGTCTTGAAATGCTTTATTTAATGACTGGACATCATAAGTGACTGGCGAGCACAGTAAGGCCGATACCACTTGTTCAGTCACTCCACTCAGCTCTGATTCAATCACGTTTGTGAAATCCTGTACACATACAGAGATGACACGTTAAGTAAGAAGCACTTAAGGTAGTGTTTTGAGTCATCCATTGATAAATGTCTTTCAAAAATTCCAGAATTTTTGAGTGTACCTGCAGTACCAGAACAAGTGGGCAAGGGTCCTCATTAGATTCCCCGCAGATAGAACAGGACACTGCTGTAACATCGTATTTTGCCCTTTTCTCTTGTCATGTTAATGTACTGTAAATCCTCTATTAAGCCCCCCTCTCTAATAAGCCCCCCCTTTTCAGAGGAGGAAAGTTAATAAGCCCTCCGGGGGGCTTAATAGAGGATTTACGGTAAGTTGTTTCTATTTCCCCTCCATATAAATGTAAGTATTGTCATAATTGTAATCAAATAAATGTTATTAAAAAAAAGAAGAAGTAGTTTAATTTGTACATGGTAGCAAAGCAATAACAACAAAAAACAGAAATAAAAGAGAACAGAATTTTGAAATGCTAAACTTATTCTGTGATTCCTTTTGATCAACGATGCTTTTAAACCAACGCTTTTTAGCCAAAAGTACCATTTGCCTGCAAAAATGGTGATGGCGATCAGGTTCTAAATCATCGTTTTCACTATGATTAAAATCATTCGATGCATCCCTGCAGTAGCCTGCGTAGCAGGCGCTTGAAAATTGTGTGTGCAAGAAAGAACGGGGCCGCACACTAAGGGAGTGACGCAGCCGTTGCCCGCCCCGTTCTTTCTTGCGCCCATTACTTTCAAGATATGCTGGCTACCTTTGATGTATCAATATTTATATTCACTAGGGTAACAAAACTAGGGTAGGGTCACTAGGGTAACATTTCGTATACGTGGTTTTGCTTACCTCGTTAAAACGATCTTTGTAAGCCTTCAACAGTCTCTTCCTTCCCTTGTTAGTACACTTAGCCAGTATTCGAACAATACACGTTTCATCAGTGCCCAGTCCCTTAACTGCGTCGTGCAGTCTACCAGCTTCTTTGTCCATGTTAGGATTTTTCGTTCTTGTCGGGCTCAAACCACCCTGTAGAGACAACAAAATCATGAGACAGAAACCAGAATTGGAATAGTTCTTGTTTCATTGATTTCTGCGATAAATGAATCATCTTTTAATACATAAAATTATTTCTCTTATTTTTTGAATAAGTAATTATTGCAATGGATTGATTAGGTGAATACATAAATGAGTTCATTTACCCTCATAACTGATAAAGATAATGATAAAGATGCGATGGAAAAGTCGTGAGGTTCTCAAATCTATTATTTAGGTAATTTTAAGAACACACTCAGATTGTTAAAAAATATGCAGCTGGAGCCCGTCACTGTGTTCCTCTATACACGAAATTTCCCCCCTTGTTTCCAATTCTCAATTACCAGAGAAAAAATTGATGCAAACAAAGTACGGATGGCTATTAAAAACTGACTAAAGTAAAACATTCACAGGAAAAAAAAAATCAAAATAAGTGTCGCACCAGTGACCATAGCAAATAAAATTGTAATGTGGATTTTTAGAAAAAGTAGAGTGTGGTACATTAAAGAGCGCCTTCAAATATAAAACCTGTGGACTGATGTGAGCGGCTTATAGAAGTAGCGAAAAAGGCTAGTTAAGGAGTGGTAATATATTGTCACACTGATTGACTGCCACGACATGACACGTAGCGTAGCTCAGCGTGCCACTGACAGAACAAACATCCGCCAAATTCACTCCATTTCCGCCACTAGCAGAGACATTATATCATATTTTTTCTAGCTATAAAGTGCTGCCCTTTCTTTAGTTGTAGTTCTTCAGTATAAAGACGAAACTGAAGTGGACGAATGGGCCCAGATGCCAACACGCTGAAATAATCAGCGAGTGCATTTGATTGATGCCATTTCGCCGGGATAAGAACATGCAAAAGTTATATTGAAAATCTTTTATACGGTGATTTAAATGCTACGTACTTCGAAGTATTTTATTTCAAGCAGATTTCGTGATATAGCAATGAAGTGAAAGCCAAAATAAGTGATTTTTAGGGTTTATTCTATTTATTCTTATTCTGGAATACTGTGCAGACGGCCGGCTCACCTTTTGCAGTTCATCGAGTGTAACAGTTCATAAGGAAGGTCTTAAATTTGTTTTTTAAGTGAAGTTAGCCTAGAAGCGACCAAATGTAATTTTTAAAGGTTTCATCATAACACAGCCACTGAAAAAAAATCTTGGGAATTATTGAAAAGTAATATTTAAACAAAGAAGAAATGACTGACTTACGTTCAACACCGATTTGGGTTTAGAAGATGATGCACAACCCATTGATTAGTGGTTTCAGTGTTAGTGTTGCCTTACTTTACGCAGCGCATTAGCAGCTCAATTTTCAGTGAAAAGGCAAACAGGATAACAGAGCTCGCCATTACAAGGGTTTCAGACGCACAGACTCGGTTTAAAGTTCTTGTATGAAACAAATGCTTTCTCGAGCGTGAATAATTCGTAGCCAATTGTCCAAACTAAAATAGTGCATTTGCATCATTTGGAGGCTTTTACAAAAATAGCCTCATGTTAAGTCATGTGGACATTCCTTTTTTATTAGTTGTGCATTAACTTATAAGAATAAAAGAAATGCCGGACCTCTAGAGTATATCACATGGTGTGAAATGGGCCACCAAAAAAGCCAATTTAATATTTATCGTTCATTTCAATCATTTTGGAAAGAACATTAACAGTATGTAATGCATGCGAAGTAGATGTGTTGGCGTCACTTCCGTTCTTTTTGTTCAGTTGTAGACAACTATCAAAATCTTTGTAATGGAAAAGATCTATAAATATACTATCAGCCAACAGATAAAAAAACAAGACAGTGTCATTGTCATTAGAAACAGCATTTTTTTTAGCGCTTAGGGAGTTAGTCGTCATGTAGCGATTGAAAGCCGACAAAGCAGTTTAAATTCACGCCTTTCGTGGTCAGTTACTCTAAGCATCGTGACAAGGAGAAAACAACTTTCGGTAAGGAGCCCTGCCCAAATAATTATCTGGAGAGATGACAAAACCGAATGACGCCTTTTAGTCTTTATGGTCAATGATTTTTCCGCCAAGTGAATCACTTCCATCTGAAAATGACTGACACACCGGTGGCTCAAAGAATAGCTCAACATTTTACAGATTTTAATTGACTGCAATTTATTTCCAAATTGGCTTTAAGAGGCTGTAAACGAGGCTGTTCTGATGGCAAAAAATGTTAAATTTTAAGTTTTCTCGGAGACCGAGCAAGAGAATGGTCAAAAATGCCACATGCCGTATATGCTAACGGTCTTCTAATTCCGTCGCCTCCAAAGAGAAAAAAATCCACGGCAGCTGTAGATATCCTAAACTCCTGCGTTTACTAGTAACTAAAAAATAATGGATAAAATACAATTTTTAAAGTAACATAAACAATATTTGAAGGGGTCTGTCTATTAAATATACTGCGTGCCGCAAGCAGATTATTCCGTTTAATAAATGCGATAGTTTCAATTTACAGTTAAGTTGTAAAATTGTTAGTGAAATTTCGAATCAAATTTTTAAGCAGATTTTGAAAATATGAAGATCGGGCAATCAAACGTTGGCAAGACTGAATAATTTTTTTTTTGGTTCTCTGCAGATATAACAAAATTTTTGTGTTACCAAGTAATATGAGTTAATTATTGAAAGATTGAAGACAAACCAGTTTGCATAACAATGTTTACAATGAATCACTATGATAGCGAACTTGCACTTTGAAACGGTTGCCATGATAAAGTTAGTCCACAAACAATGAAAAGAATATACAAAAAGGGCAAAATTTAACAATTTCAAAATAGTTTTCGGCAATTGGAATTTTACTCTTTAAAAAATGTTTCCCCAAGAGAAAAATGTATTCTGACAACTTAAAATAAAAATTAGGAAACCAACTTACTTGCAAATGATTCAACGACAATAAAAACTTATTTCGGCTAAGTTATTTTTATAGATGCTTGACTTTTACTAAAAATGAAAAGAAAAAAAAAAAAAAACTGACTCACGCATAAATCAGAAGTAGATTTTGAAGACGCAGCACAACCCATTGAAGATTTTGAAGACGTAGTGCAGACGCAACAGATGCATCACAGTCCACCACGAACAAGCAGTGTCAATGAAGGCAAGCGGTTTGATAACCAGATACAGTACACTAAAGAGTAAGCAAATTTTAAAACACAATGGCGTAGGAGGGTGGTAACGGTAACGCCCTTTCTCGTGGCCAGTGAGGTGATGTGATATTGATGTAAGCGACAGCTAATAAGCATTATTTACGTCATGTAGTGCCACTGACACGTCAAAAGTGTCACAAGTGGTAAAAGTGCACAAGGAAGACACTGCTATCTTTCCAAAATGATTTCCGGTTTTACACACGGATTTATTTAAAATGGAACAAAACGTCCTTTGACTAATAGAAGCAAAACCACAAAGCATCAGCTAAGTGAATTTTAGGAGGGGCCCGTTATGCCTGCTGGTCCCGCGGCAACGGTCCTACTCGCAATTCGATCACCAAATTACGCAATTTACAAATTATATTAAATCAGGGTATAAAAGAATCGGCGCACTTTTGGTTCCTCTGTTTTTTGGCATTGCACTGGCTAAGGATCAAGACTATACAGTAGGTAACCCTACCCCACACACTTCAATTTTTTTTTTCAATTATTCTATTTCATCACTTTTTACTCGTCACTATTACTCTTCTCTTTCGGTAAGCATCAGTTTGCCGTTTTTCACGTAGTGTCGTGATAAATAAGATATGGTATTTGTGAAGCGTTAACCGTAAATAACCGCTACGTAGGCGCTGCCGGCACCGTAGCGTCAACAAGGACATAATTACGTGACATTACTCAAGTGGTCTCTCGTGAAAACTTATCTGTTACGTACCAGACCCTACCAAGAACCCATTACTCCTGCGTTAACTTTGTACTGAACTTGAGAGAGAAAAATTTTTAAAAAGGATGTCAACGATAATTTAAGAATGTAAATTGCAGGCGAAGTCAAGAGTTACCTACAGTTGACTGACTC